CCAACATGTTGTTACAGCGTTTGGTTATTGTTAACATTGACAAATGTATGTGAATAATACAGTGAGTGTACATAAGCTCTAAAAACTCCTCATATTTCGGAGTATGTGCTGGGTGTTTTTCCTTGTATGCCATATTGAAATAGTTTGTTATTTTAACAATTACTTTCGTGGTACTTACTAATATTCCCATCTACGTCTTAACAGATTACAAAGTGAGCATACATCTGATGCTTTACTAAATATTAAGACTATGATCAGTTTTAGAGTGAAAATTGTGAACGAGCCAGCAGACAAGTTCTCCATGCTTTTGACAGAATGTTTCATTCCACAAAATTTGACACAGTTACTTCGAATGCCCAAATCTATACTTCACCATTTCAACTCTGGTTCATTTCTAGTTCATATAATTGAGAAAAATTAGTAAAATGTTGCTATGGATGAGGCTCACTGATGCAAATAATTTGCCATAAATCATCACGAGAACTTAAATGCAGGATTGAACAAAGTGTTTGAAAGAAGAAAGTAAAACTATGTAGAATTTATTACAATATAATAAAGCCTGCGTGTATTTTCAGTACAGTTTTCTGAAACCACTATTTGCAACTGAACCACTTCTTGGGACGACTGATTTGCTAAAGTTTCATGATAATTTCAAAGCATTCTAAAATCCGAATATTTCACAGATCATTGAAGACATTTGCAAAGGAATAAGAATCCAAACAGTAAACAAATGGAGCAGACAGGGAGCATAAGTGTTACCAGAAATGTTTGAATCGTGTCATCATCAAATCAGAGGGAAATAAGCAACTAGCTGAAATAAAGCAGTTGGTACCTCCGCCATATGTGCTTATACCACATGATGCAAACTAGTCAAGAGTGTCAAAGCATTCTTAAGGGAAGGCAGATCAGTGGAGGTATTGTCACAATGACACATTGCACTGAAGAGTACGAGTGTTGTACATCAAACCATGAAGAAAATGATATCAGAGTTTCTGTAGTATTCATCAGAAAATATTCATCTATTCACCTGATACAGGCACTTATGTTATTTGCCTTCAGTGTACAACAGCAAGTGTATTTGCGTAGCATTGGTTTAGATCCACTTGGGTACGAAAATATTACACCAACAAGCATTACAAACAGATTTATGATTAAGGCAAAAATGAAGAAATAGTCAGTATTGGAGGAGCTCACTGCTAGATGCAAGATGGATTGCAGAGTGAAAGTAAAACAGAAGAAGCAACCAGTGTCTGAAGAACTTGGTCTAACCATTGGCAGAGAAGCTCACCAATGACGAAACACAGTATGGGTGGATGATAACAGTGTTCCGAATATTTTGAAAGAGGTTTCTAGTGGTGAATGTCATATTGATTCTGATGTTGATGATGAACAATCATTATGCAAGTCAATTGTATAATTTTATCACTGTAATACCCCCTCCCCTAACTGGGACATATATGATAGCATTTCTTTGATTTTGTTAAATCCCATATAAAGGAATGCATCAAGTTCTATCCGTAGCATTACTTGATTTGACGCTGATCTCTAATAAAAAAAAATATAAAGTCCGAAGTGGTGTTTTCTGTGTGGATTTACAACAAAGTATGACCTTTTACCTGGACATTTATTTATTTAGGCACACATGCACATGAAAAAATAATGTATCTAAACAATATTGTTGTTTCTAAATAACATTTTAGAAGAAAGGTTTCCAGATGTGAAGTATGGTGACTTGTTCTAAATGTCTACTTTTAATTAAACTTTTAATTAAAGAAGACGATACTAATGCAATGGTTTTAGTAAAGATAATTGCTGTGTTAATACACACACAACCTAAGATAGTCAGTGGTTCTGGGGACAAGTTTTTAATTCTTTGTAATATTATCTAAAATTTTGTACAATGTACATGTACGAGTTCCATGGTACCATGATAATTAATGTTGAATTATACTTCATGAATCATTTCAATGCAAAACGGTTGTTTTTTGTATATATTAAAGTGCACATGGTCAAAACATCTTTTTATCATTTCATTTACATAAAAACGTGTTTATAATAAAGCAAATATAGTGAATATTAGAAACAAAACAATAACAACACTGCATTTTTAGAAGTGATGTGCGAGTGTGTGTGCCTACATGGTTTACATGTTCACAATGTGAGAGATCTTGTCAGTATTTTTGCATATTTTTTGACGTTATCTCTACTCCAGAAAAGAACATCTGTAAATACTTGTATATTATTAAAACAAGTAGTTTGGTCTTTACACGTAATATTTCTAAATTATTTTTTCTTCAAACTATATTATGGATAATTGTGCAGGTATAAAACAATAATAAACATAGGATTAAAAAGCATAAATAATTCACCCATTTTTTCTCATGCTATTGCAATGACAATCATTTTGTAAATATATATTTTGTGACCATAATATTTTTGCGATGAACGCTATAAAATATATGAGACAACCCAATTAGATCGGTGAATATATCCAAGTATCATCCACCGAAAAATAGATGAAAACCTGGAGGTTACAGGTATGCCCTAGCAATCTAACATACTATCTTAAGTAATTCTGTTAGGACATATCCCATGTTGCGTGACTTTTTATAAAAAGTTTGTACATTAGTGAAAATGAGATGAAGAGATTAGATAAGATATGATGTGTTCGTAATTTGATGATTCAATATAATTCAACGTACTGCTGCTTGTTTCAATACTGGGACAGTCAGTGTTTGAAAGGTTGTTATTATTGCAAGCCCCGGACATCATGATAACCTTAACAATTTCCAAAACACCAACACTGTAAATTAACTTACGTCTGTACGTTTGGCGAGTGAAACCCAATCTTTCCTTCTTGCCATCTCTGTTCCCAAAATGCAGCAGTCCCAAATAGTGCCGTTCTGTTTTCTGATTGAATAGTTGTAAGTGTATTTTCACTGATCGACGATTCTGTTGCCATTCGTACCTTGTATTGCGGCGTTTATCTTGAGGCGAGAAACATCAACGTGTACCATATGCTTCATACCAGGATGGCCAGCTTCAGCTTTAAATGAATATAAAAAGCACAGGATAGAAAATCTAAATATAGTAAAAGCGAATGTTAACCTTTGACATGACAAGCCAGCTATAGGGGTTTTCATATAGAAATAAAAATGAAATCAAATTAAATGGCACATCGTGGTTCTTAACTCTTAGTTTTATTTAGATGAAATATAAACGTTTTTAAATCAGCAATATGCACAGCAATGGTAA